TTTTGGAAGACAACTATATTCTTTCTATTTTATTCTATTCTAGTCTACTTTTTCTATTCTATTCTTTTCTTTTCTATTCTACTATATTCTTTTCTATTCCTTTCTTTTATTTTTTTCTATTCTATTCTGTTTTGGTTTATTCTATTCTTTTCTAAATTAATCGCTAAATACAAAAGGCTTTTTTTTTCTAAAAATTACAAACATTATTATTATTATTATTATTATTATACAGTATTTATAAAGCGCCAATAGTTCGCTCAGCGCTGTACATTACAATGGGGGACAGAACAATAACAATACAATACAATGCAAAACATGAGGGGATCGAGGGCCCTGCTCTTTCGAGCTTACAATCTAGGAGGGAGGGGATAGTGGTACAGGAGGAGAAAGCTGTGGGGGATGGAGTGGTAAACATGTCTATACTTTGTGTCCAGTCACACACGAAGCCGCGGCTCATCCCCTCCCCCTCTCTCTTCTCATTGGCTCAATGGCTATGATTGACAACAGCAGGACCCAATGCTTCTGTCTCCGTCAATGAGGAGTGGGTGTCCCGGGATAGCAAGACTTTAGTGCACATCGCTGAATCGAAAAGGGGCTTAGCTGAGTATTGAATGCATGAAGGTAAAAAACCTTCCGCCTTTACAACCACTTTAAGATTTTTAAATTAAAATTTCGGAAAAGACAACTATATTCTTTCTATTCTATTCTACTTTATATACTCTATTCTTTTCTATTCTATTAAATTATTTTACATTCTATTTTACTCTTTAATTTTCTATTCTATTTTATTCTATTCTAATCTTTTAGAACTTCGAATTTTGGAACTGGCTATATTCTAATACAATCAGCAACAGTAATCAATATATTTATATTTCAAATTCGTTTTTGCATTGGTTTTGAATTCAATTCAAATGAGTATAATTTAGTTTGGCCAAAAAAAAAAATTTTGTTATTTTGGATTCATATAAATTCTTTACTATTGTAATTTGGAGATATGGATGCAATCAGATCTCCGAATAACAAAAATTTCATCCAAATTTAAGGTCATGTTTGCAAAAAATAAGCTTAAAAACGTCTTCTTAGCTCCTTATCAGATATGTAATAACTACAAATGTCTGTCTGGTAAGGCTCCATGCCAGGGGCGGACTGACCATTTGGAAACTCTGGCACTGCCCGAGGGCCCGGGGGCAGTAGGGGGCCCCATGAGATGCCCCTGGTACCTTTTTCATAGGCTTTTTTGAGTTTGGGCAAAGGACACAGGGGCCCCATGATCCCCTATTGCCCGGGGGCCCCATGAGTTGTCAGTCCGCCCTTGCTCCATTCACACGTTTTGATAACGCTGATAAGATAGCTGTGTAAAATCACGATAAAAACATTTTTCAGCTTTTTTTAGCGTTTTTGCATTAGCGGCGTTTTGCAGCAGTTGTGTTTTTTAGACGTTTTTATGACCAAAAAAAACTTCCAAAAATGCCGGTTTGCGGCGTTTTACCATGTTTTACAGCGTTTTTCAGTGTTACAGTGTTTTTAGCTGAAATCCAACCTATTTTTTTATTGTACTTCAAATGGTATCTTAACCCCTTTCAGATGGAGCAGATTCATCAGTGTGATCCGCCTGCTCAGTGGGGGATCTCTCCACTGATCCCCGCTGAGCAGGCAGATGACAGGTCTCTGTCCGCTCTGCTGCTGACAGATAAAGTCAATTTCATTGAAGATTTCCTGGTTTATCACGGACTGTTTTTTTGTTTTTTTTCACAGTTTTGATCTACTTTTATATGTTTTGGTGCAGCACTTAAAGTGTTACTAAACCCAGGTCCCTGCATTCAATATTTCTGGTTTCCCACAGAACATGGAAATGTAATTATTTTAGTCAATATAAACTGCTAAATACCTTTTCTCATCAGCAGTTAGAGCAGTCTTGTCACTTCTATCAGTGTCCAGCTGAGCACTAGCTAAAGCTTGTAGGAGGAGGTTTTTTTATGCCCTTGGAGAATGCAGGACCCCGGACCTCTGTCTGGACAGTGCTGATTGGCCCTGTTCTGATCACATGCACTCTCCCAAGAAAAAAAAAAAACCTCCCTAGCAATACACACCAAACTGAGCATGTGCAGAGTGCCTATGGTTCAATCTGTCTTATCAGGAGATAAGGGGTGGTTGCTTAAACAAGTGGAGGAACATAGCAATCAGGAGCAAATGGCCTTTTTTACACAATGCAGAGGATTAACCCCTTAGGTTCCACAGTGAGTATAACAAACATGCTTTACTGCATATACGTTTTTTCTAAGAAAAAATGGATCAGTTCCCATCTCTTTTTCATCCATTTTTCAGCAGTTTTTAATATCCATTTTTCATCTGTTTACATCCATTTTTTGTCCATTTACATCTGTTTACATCCACATATTTGCGTACCCCTCTGTGTGCTGGGAGCGCACCGCAGTTTTTTAATCTATTTTTCATCCGTTTGCATCTGTTTTTCATCTATTTACATCCATTTTTCATCCGTTTTTTCATCCTTTTTCATGCGTTTACATCCATTTTTCATCTGTTTACATCCGTTTTTGTCCATTTACATCCATTTTTTGTACATTTACATCTGTTTACATCTGCATATTTGCGTATCCATCTGTGTGCTGGGTGCGCACCGCACAGCACGCTCCCAGCACAAAGACCGGAGTGTCATTGAGAGCCCTGGGTCCCGTTCTAACGATTGGGACTCGGAACTCCCAGCTATGGGTCACATGATAGCTTCTGATTGGCTATCACAGTGATCAGTCACTGTGAAACCCACTCCCCTTGTTTTTTTTTTCTCTGAATGGAGGAGAGAGATACATTGTATCATTATATACATTATATTATACATCGTATCTCTCTCTCTCTCCTTGCAGAGAGAGAAAAAAAACAACTGTTTGTAAAAAAAAATAAATAAATAAATAACTATCTAAAAATAAAGAAAAAATACCTAGATCAAGGTTTGATCTAGTTCAGTTTCAGGGTTAGTGTTTGGGTCAAGGTCAGTGTCATAAGTCAAGGTCAGAGGTCAGAATGTATTATTTTTTTTTAAATTTAAGTGTCAGTGTATTTTAGGTAAAAAAAATGAAAAACAAAAATGTGCACTATTGTTTCTGGGCTGTAGTATGAGTACAAACAACAAATAACACACATATATGGTATCACTGCAATCGTCAAGTGCTGGAATATTTGGTGGAAGGTTATGGTAGTAACAAGAAACACACAGCTACATTTTAAAAAAATATTTTATTTACTATTTTGGGCCAGTTTTCCTTTGATAATAAAAAAAAATCCGGAAATACCCATTACCACTTACCACCAAATGAAAGCCCAATTTGTCCAGAAAAAAACACGGTATAATCCACCTGGATGTACAAAGCAGTTGTAATGATTTGTACAGTTTTTACTAACACATGTCAAAGTTGTAAAATTTTACTTAGGGTTTAAGATTGGTTTTACCCTTAGGCATGAAGGGGTTAATTTTCCACTTTGTTTTTTGGATTTTTTTCTAAATAAATAAAAAAAAAAAACCTGTCAATTTTGAAAAAAAAATAATAGATGCAGAACAAAATGTATTTTACTAGATTTCTTTGGTAATAATAACCCACATTGGTGTACAGTATATTATTTAGTTTGTGTGAAAGTTGTAGAGTCAACAAACTATGGTATATAAATATCTAAAAATTGATCAATCCTGATGTACTGACAGCCAATCTCATGTCTTGAGAACCTTAAAATGTCAGGACAGTACAAATACCTCCAAAATGACTTGGAAAGTACACAGTTCAAGGTATTTAGTAAGAGGCATGGCGAGTTTTTTGAAGTTGTACATTTTTGTCACAATTTTTTTGAAAATGAAAAAATTATGTAAAATTAGCTTTTTTTAACAATTGTTTTACATACTGTCACTAGTGCAACACAGCATCATATGTGGCGGTGATTGGGGATACTGACTGCTGACAGTATGTAAAAAAAAAAAAATAAACTTTTTGTATTAATTTTTTTAAACATCTCTTTTCTTTTTTTTAAAAAAAAAAAAAACACTTTTTAATACTTTCATCAGAGTAGTACGTCACCATAGTGACACTCTTCTACTTTGAAGGGGGGGGGGGGGTTTGGGGGAGGTGATCATTGTAATGTTCACTGTTATAAGCAATAGTTAACTGTCATGAATGGTTTTCCATTCAAGACAGCTTGCTCTCTGTTGATATGATGTGATTGGCTACAGCTAAATACATGGTACAGGGTGTCAGGTACCATGTGTGATATCTGTGCGCCAATCACAGCTGCCCAACACTAAGGAAACAGTCTTTGTTTTGGTTACATTGTAATCATGTGATCTCTATGACCTATCATAGATTACATGATACCCCAGCCACTCACAGCTGCCAGGTACCGAGTGCCCTGATTAGCTGTGTCCACGCCTAGTGCGCATGTGCTGGGCGACGTATCAGTACAGTACCAGTAAAGAGACAGTGCACCATTTTTTACTCATTAGTCTACATATGTCTCGTCTTCAGTTATAATGGTAGCGGTGGTCTAGATTTGAATCAGACACCAGGCTCATGTTGTTTTGGTTTTTCAGTACGTTGCCTGGCCGTCTGTGCTGCCTGCTTGCAATATATGCAATAAAAAAATGTGTCCTTTCAAAAGAGGTAGTGATACATTTTTGCGGTTGTGCAAAAGGGAGGTATTCTGGATATTCTATCTAAATAAATGCCTCACGGGGTTTGAACCATGAATGGGACATCACATATTTTTATGATTGATAGAGAGCATGTCTCTAGTGTTCCCTTCACTCCTGCATATAGATGCATGTGTGTATATGCCGTAGTCCAGAAGAGGTTTGGGTTTCCTGAGGGCAGTGTGGAGCTGTATGTAGAGAAAGTTGCTACAAGGGGTCTGTGTGCCATCGCTCAGGCTGAATCCCTGCGTTACAAGTTCCTGGGAGGCCTGGCTGTGAGGAGAGCTGTTATGGTGTCCTGCGTTTCATCATGGAGAGTGAGGCCAAGGGCTGTGAAGTGGTCATGTCTGGCAAACTGAGAGGTCAGAGAGCCAAGTCCATGAAGTTCGTGGATGGCCTGATGATCCACAGTGGAGACCCAGTCAATTACTATGTGGATACAGCTGTACGTCACATCCTTCTCAGACAAGGTGTGCTGGGTATCAAGGTGAAGATCATGCTTCCTTGGGACCCCAGTGGCAAGATTGGCCCCAAGAAGCCCCTGCCTGACCACGTCAGCATTGTGGAGCCCAAGAAGAAGAGATCCTGCCAACTACTCCCATCTCTGAGCAGAAATGAACAAAGCCTGAGCAGGCCCAGCCCCCAGCCATGCCCCAGGCTGTACCCACTGCATAATGGGATGTGGAAGGCCCAGGATGTGATGCTTTTGGATACCAGCTCAGAAACTCTTTAAAATAAAAAAAAACCCTAAAAATTATTCTGTCTCTTTTTATTATTATTTACCATGTATGATGTGAATTGAAAAGCTCACAGGAGACCAGCTTATTAAAGCTGGTGAAAAAAAAAATAGACTTGTTGCACTGGCAACCATTTAGATTGATATGAAATACACCCCTTGAGGGTTAGGGACTGATGTGAATGTACAATATATACAGTTGTGTTCAAAATAATAGCAGTCAGACATCACTAACCTGATCAATCACTGTTTTTGGTAGAAATGATATTTCTAAAGGGCAAATAATTTACTAGTAGGTGTAGTAGAGTAATAGAAATCCAACAGACCCAACAGTCATGACGTGCATGCTGCTGATTCTGTGTAATTGAATCACTAATTGAAAGGGGCATGTTCAAAATAATAGCAGTGTGGAGTTCTATTAGTGAGGTCATTCATTTTTTGAAAAACAGGTTGCAATTATTGCCCTTATTTAAGGAAGGAAGGCAGCAAATGTTGTACATGTCGGTTACAGTGCATTTCTCTCTGAAATTCTGAGGAAAATGGGTCGTTCCAGACATTGTTCAGAAGAACAGCGTACCTTGATTAAAAAGTTGATTGGAGAGGGGAAACCATATAAAGAAGTGCAGAAAATGATAGGCTGCTCAACTAAAATGATCGCAAATGCTTTAAAATGGCAACCAAAACCTGAAAGACGTGGAAGAAAGCGAAAAACTACCATTCGAATGGATAGAAGAATAGCCAAAATGGCAAGGATTCAGCTAACAGTCAGCTCCAGGAAGATGAAAGAAGGTATAAAGTTACCTGTGAGTACTGTTACAATTAGAAGACGCCTATGTGAAGCCAAGCTATCTGCAAGAAGCCCCCGCAAAGTCCCACTGTTGAAAAAAAGACATTTGCTGAAGAGGTTATAATTTGCCAAAGAGCACATTGACTGGCCTAAAGAGAAATGGCCCAACATTTTGTGGACTGATGAAAGTAAGATTGTTCTTTTTGGGTCTAGTGGCCGGAGACAGTTTGTCAGACGACCCCCAAACACTGAATTCAAGCCACAGTACACTGTGAAGACAGTGAAGCATGGTGGTGCAAGCATCATGATATGGGGATGTTTCTCATACTACGGTGTTGGGCCTATTTATTGCATACCAGGGATCATGGATCAGTTTGAATACATCAGAATACCTGAAGAGGTCATGCTGCCTTATGCTGAAGAGGAAATGCCCTTGAAATGGGTGTTCCAACTAGGCAACGACCCCAAACACACCAGTAAACGTGCAACATCTTGGTTCCAGACCAACAAGATTGACGTTATGGAGTGGCCAGCCCAATCCCCGGATCTTAATCCAATAGAAAACTTGTGGGGTGACATCAAAAATGCAGTTTCTGAGGCAAAACCAAGAAATAGAGAGAGAACTGTGGAATGTAGTCCAATCATCCTGGGCTGGAATACCTGATCACAGGGACCAGAAGTTGGTTGACTCCATGCAACACAGATGTACAGCAGTTCTCAGAAACAGTGCTTATACAACCAAATATTCATCAACCAAGTGATTCAAAGAAAAGCAAAATCTTCAAACATTTTTCAGTTTATATAGTGAATGTTTGAGTTTGTAAAGAAGAATACAAACACTGCTATTTTTTTGAATAGTCTAATATTCACTTTTCTTCAATTTTTTTAGAGGAACAACACAAATTTGATCTATTTTTCTTCATGTTTTGATTTGGAATAGAATGTGTAGTGTTCCCAATGCATTTGTGTGGATGGAAATAAAAGCTATTAGAAGGATTTTGAGCTTTATTCACTTTTTTCAACACACTGCTATTATTTTGAACACAACTGTATGTGTAAAGCGCTGCAAAAATGGACGGCGCTGGAAATATATATATATATAGTACCTGGTGTATATATATATATGCACCTTATTTAGTTTATTTGTTTATTTGATGCGCACATTCACCTTATGTGCACATTCATGTGCACACACATCTTGAACACCATCTTTTTTTTCCCTTTGGGATTTTCTTTTCTTTTCGTTTTTATGGTGCTTTACTTTTGTTTTTTGATGCATTGTTTTTTGATGCGTCACTTTTGATATATATTGTTTCTGCTCTTTGATATATTCTGGTCTGAATATGTATTTTTTTTGTGATTTTTCTGTGATTTTTTTTGTACTTTATCCCAAGCAATCAAGTGCTTTCTGTATGCGTTTTTTGTATATATCATTATTTAAATTTTGATTATGTACAAATGTGGCTCCTTAGCCCATATCTTCTTGGGATATTTACTCACTTTTATCTGTGTTTGTGTATGTTATTTCATTTTTCATTTTACTTTTCATTTATAATTTTTTCATAATTATTTTTATCAATTATTCTTTTTCTCTCTCTTTGTTTCTCTTCCACTTTTCTTTTCTTTTTCTTTTCCTCCTTTCTTGTTGTTCTCTTAGATCACTGTTTTTGATACAATGGTTTTATATGTTTTGTTACAATGTATTAGTAGGTGTATCCTCAGGATTCAGGAGTGCTGATTAGGACAGGTGTTCTTTATTAACTAATACCTATATAAGACAGCACTTTTGTTGTTTTCTTTGTTGTGATTAAGCACAAGATCGTGTGAAACGCATTAACAGGTCCTGTATTCATGTCCTGGTGTTTTGTGTATCCTGTGGATCAATAAATATACACTATGTTCATCAATCCTCCGGTGTGCTGCTGACCCTTCTTCCTGTACTGTTAGCAGGCGGCAATTAGTTAACAGACATGGTTTTTGTTCAATCGGTATATCAACTTGATATGTAAAAGATATGAAGGTAACAACCTCATTACAGTAGCAAACAGGGGCTGACTGACAACTCATGGGCCCCCGGGCAATAGGGGATCATAAGGCCCCTGTGTCCTTGCTCAAACTCAAAAAAGCCTATGAAAAAGGTACCGGGGGCATCTCATGGGGCCCCCTACTGCCCCAGGGCCCTCGGGCAGTGCCCGAGTTTCCAAATGGTCAGTCCGCCCCTAGTAGCAAAGCAATTTTGGCCATTTCCACATCATATTACGAGGTCAGCCAGGCTTCTATCACATCTAGGATAATCTAGTGTATCTCTACGATGCCATCAATGTAGATTAGAAGGGGTATGATAAATTCTATGCTGTATAAAAAGCTACATGAGTCCCTGTGTAGGATGAGGATACTGAAGTAAGTGTAGTCAGTGCCTGTTCCAATAAATCTGTTATATGTCCTAAATCTTCCTCAATTTTTTAGCCAGAATTTTAGTCTAAGCTTGTATTTTGTCAGTCAAAAGCCCATACAGCTGGGAAATAAGTCCCTTTTTAGAGCTAGCACTGGGTTTTGTTGTTCTTTCAGTGCATATGGGTCTGAGCCACCAAAGCATGTCTTAGTTGTACATGCTGGAAGAATTTTCATTTTGTGAGATCATATTCATTTTGGAGCATTAGGTGCATTTTAATAGACTATCCCACATATAATTGGTGTACAGTCAGGTCCATAAATATTGGGACATCGACACAATTCTAACATTTTTGGCTCTTTACACCACCACATTGGATTTGAAATTAAACGAACAAGATGTGCTTTAACTGCAGACTGTCAGCTTTCATTTGAGGGTATTTATATCCAAATCGGGTGAACTGTGTAGGAATTACAACAGTTTGCATATGTGCCTCCCACTTGTTATGGGACCAGAAGTAATGGGACAATTGGCTTCTCAGCTGTTCCATGGCCAGGTGTGTGTTATTCCCTCATTATCCCAATTACAATGAGCAGATAAAAGGTCCAGAGTTAATTTCAAGTGTGCTATTTGCATTTGGAATCTGTTGCTGTCAACTCTCAAGATGAGATCCAAAGAGCTGTCACTATCAGTGAAGCAAGCCATCATTAGGCTGAAAAAACAAAACAAACCCATCAGAGAGATAGCAAAAACATTAGGCGTGGCCAAAACAACTGTTTGGAACATTCTTAAAAAGAAGAAATGCACCGGTGAGCTCAGCAACACCAAAAGACCCGGAAGACCACGGAAAACAACTGTGGTGGATGACCGAAGAATTCTTTCCCTGGTGAAGAAAAACACCCTTCACAACAGTTGGCCAGATCAAGAACACTCTCCAGGAGGTAGGTGTATGTGTGTCAAAGTCACCAATCAAGAGAAGACTTCACCAGAGTGAATACAGAGGGTTCACCACAAGATGGAAACCATTGGTGAGCCTCAAAAACAGGAAGGCCAGATTAGAGTTTGCCAAACAACATCTAAAAAAGCCTTCACAGTTCTGGAACAACATCCTATGGACAGATGAGACCAAGATCAACTTGTACCAGAGTGATGGGAAGAGAAGAGTATGGAGAAGGAAAGGAACTGCTCATGATCCTAAGCATACCACCTCATCAGTGAAGCATGGTGGTGGTAGTGTCATGGCGTGGGCATGTATGGCTGCCAATGGAACTGGCTCTCTTGTATTTATTGATGATATGACTGCTGACAAAAGCAGCCGGATGAATTGTGAAGTGTTTCGGGAATATTATCTGCTCATATTCAGCCAAATGCTTCACAACTCATTGGACGCCGCTTCACAGTGCAGATGGACAATGACCCAAAGCATACTGCAAAAGCAACCAAAGAGTTTTTTAAGGGAAAGAAGTGGAATGTTATGCAATGGCCAAGTCCATCACCTGACCTGAATCCGATTGAGCATGCATTTCACTTGCTGAAGACAAAACTGAAGGGAAAATGCCCCAAGAACAAGCAGGAACTGAAGACAGTTGCAGTAGAAGCCTGGCAGAGCATCACCAGGGATGAAACCCAGCGTCTGGTGATGTCTATGCGTTCCACACTTCAGGCTGTAATTGACTGCAAAGGATTTGCAACCAAGTATTAAACAGTGAAAGTTTGATTTATGATTATTATTCTGTCCCATTACTTTTGGTCCCTTAATAAGTTGGAGGCACATATGCAAACTGTTGTAATTCCTACACCGTTCACCCAATTTGGATG